TCACGTTCGATTCGTGCAATCCTCTCTCTCTCTCTCTCTCTCTCTCTCTCTCTCTCTCTCAATGATTACAAGCCACGATTCACGCGACCTGTATCCATTTTTCCATGAATACCGCGGAGCAACGACTACTCGATCGTGAATCAACGTAATGGATAGCCGAGAGCTTCATTTTTATTTGATCCATTTAAAAAAAACAAACCGGTTGAATATTGTAAATCGTTGCGTTGTTGCGTGCCAACCATTTACCTGGTGGCCATTGCAATCGAAATGACCTTTTCGGGAATTCGACGCGACTCTTGATCGATGACGAAACGATTGACGCGCCACGATTTTCCCATAAAGACAAAGGAGACCGAGTCGTTCGATATTCGTCCTAGCCATCGCGAAATGGCCGATTCTGATGATAAATCTTCTCAAAGGAATAGAAGATGAAGGCTGGTTAGTAGTTAAATCGGTCTTGTTCTCACGATTGTTCTCCTCTGTGAATCTTGAGATAAATCTTCTATGTCGTCAGACGATCTGGTTTACATTAAGTTCCTGGCACAAGCATTATGGCATGCTTCTGTATTGCTTCTAATCGATTAATTTAATCGATTATCGATTCCCATATAATATTTTTCTTTCGATTAATTAATTACGTCTGTCTTCTTAAAATGAGAATTCATTGCCGATCAAACGATTACTAATCTTTCGCTTCTCCAAGAATCTCGTAGATTAAACTTTCAAACGAATTATCAAATGGATTCATCGTGAATTTCACCGTGACTTCAAACGATCGTTTATATAACGTAAATGCCTCCGTGTGTTCCAGAGAGCCGGTAGCTCGAAGCGAGCAACTTGAATGGCCATTGTTTCGTCGTAAAAACGTAATGAAACGGCTTGGCTGGGCGAAAAATATTCCCCCATGGCCGCGCGATCTGTGGCGAAGATCGGCCTTAAAAAAAGGAAAAAAGAAAAAAAAAAAAAAAGGAAGAAAAAATAAAAAGGAAAAAAAAAAGAAACATACGGTAATTGTCGTGTACAGATTCCGCGATAGAGCCAGCGCCGTCGAACAACTCCGTATAGATAACGCAATTCTCGTGTACGACCTTCTGTGAATTATGGTCTCGCGGTTCGTTAGCTCGACCTTATTCAAATCGACCGCGCCCGCACACCTGTGTGCGCGCGGATCGATCTACAGATCGATTTTTCCCCGGACGATGTCGCGAAATCGGATTGTTTGTTTCACGATTGCCAGACCGTGTCGCGAGTAACACGTCTAGCGACCTTACCCTTTACTACGGCCAATGATATTAGTTACGCGCAACGCTAAGAGATCTGAGTAAACCTAGCATTGTACTAGCGATTTATATAGATAGAAATTTAATTCAACAACAATCAGAATTAATCAGAATTTAAATTGACAATAATGAAAACAATCTTCTGTAGAAGAAAACGATCGAAATACGAAAATATTTTAACAATATGGATGTACTGTATTTGTTGAGTTAAATCGATCTATATTATCTTTCGACGAAAGAAGAATTCGAAGATGAAGAGTAGCTTGGACTTTTATTTATATCCACTATCATTCGTATCGTTTGCTGACGCGTCGAGACCTGTGTCAGCATTATCTTTTTGGTACTCTCTCTCTCTCTCTCTCTCTTTCAATCTACCCTTAATCGTCGCTTCTTGTAAATGTCAAATTTCCACGGTGAAACACAGCGGAACCGACATACGGCGATAACGATCGAGAACCGATAAAACGTAAAACGTTTTCGTGATCTGCCTGTATAGTGGCAAGATCCATATATAAACGTTAAATCTCCTGTTCGAGAAAGTTTTTAATTTTTCCCTTCCCCTTTTAGTCGATGAAAATCCATGCGATCGATATTCAAAATAGAAATAGATTCAAAATTCACGGGACGGTATACGGCATCTTTTTTCTTTTTTCTTTTTCTTTCTTTCTTTACTCTGCTTTATAAAATTATAACGTGCATCAATTATTTCACAGCTCGTTAAAATGGAACGAGTAACGAATTTGAAGCGAACTAAAGGTTAAGCCGTATATATATAACTCGATTAAACCATAGAAGCGTGGAAGAGTTAACAACGTGATTAAACGTGTGTAACTAAATNTATATGTATATTATATCTATAAAAATGTACGTTACAAACTATTTATTATCTATTTCTTTTTAAAAAATAATAATAATAATAATAATAATAAAATATATAACCGTATAAAATCCGACCATGCGTACAAAAATCATAATATTCGTTAACGGGGATCGTCGCGAAATCTAAACGTAATCTAAACAACAGATCAGATATCATATCGATACCTTGGATAATTCGATCGACGAGGTTTCCAAAGCTCATTCTCTCCTTCTTTCCCTTTCCTTCTTTCCAACAGGACTTGGACTCGTTACCAATGACCAGAATGGCCAGAGTGAATCGCGCCATAACCCGTCCCGTGGGCAGTGATTTTGCCGGAGGGGCCGGCGATCACCACCGATCCAGCGTGGGGACCGGATACCGCCGCGGTTCCCGAATGAGGGCCAGAAAGCACGGCGCCATGGGATGCTGGTCCTGCGAGAATCGCGCCGTGAGATGCTGGACCCGCTATCACCGCTCCGTGGCTACCAACTCCCGCGTACTGCGGGTATCCTGCGTAACTGAACGCCGGACCCGCGTATCCGACACCTGGAACACATCGTGTTCCTTCGTAAGAAAAAAGGTAAATATTTAATTTTGTCGACGAGCATTATCGATTTCCGAGAATTTCGCATTAGAACCTTATTTATTATCTATTTTCTGAATGTATGGAGGTTATTTACATTAGATTCGAAGAAATACTACGGATGGAAAAAGTTATATTTATAGTTATATTTACCTCTCAGAGTTTGGTTTCGAGTTTTTCAATTTTATTTAGCAGGAGAGAAGAAGTGGATAGAAAGAGAAAGATGATTTTTATTTCATATTGTACATTTGTGGATAGAAATTTCAAAGGAGTCGAAATATCAAGCGAATGAAATACTTGAAGTGAATTAATTTTTTAAATTAAATGTGATCACTCACCGACTCCTCCGTCGTAGGGACCAGCATCGTAGCCTTCAACGTGAGCAGGTCCAGCAACGGAAGCAGTGACGACGGCAGAGCCGGCAACAGCACCGGAAACGTGCACCGGTCCAGCAACTGATCCGGACAGCTTAGCCGGTCCTATGGACGGCGCTGCCACCATGGTAGATCCGATGTGAGGACCAGCGAT